TTAAAAATAAATTAAATTGATAATATTTATATTTTAAATTTATTATTTAATTATTATAAATTTAGTAAATAATTTTTATCAAATGATACTAAAAATTTAATTAAAATTATTATAAAAAATTATTTTAAAACAATATTTTTTTATAATTTATATCAAAACGCAACCGCAACAAACCATTCACTTCTAACCCACCCACCCGCAATCGCTGCCAACAACAACTTATCAACCAGTCAGTATTTATCATTCATAATCGCTATCAAACGCTCTGAAAACGTCGTCACCCGCAACCGTAACCATTGCGGTACAACCAACCTTGAGTCTAATATTCACCTTGATTTGTCAAATCTTTAGATATTTTTTTTTCCCTTCAACATATATTATGTATAACTTACACTTTCATACCCTGCCCGTTTTCTACTGCAAATTTAAATTTTATTGTCTCAATTTAAAATTGCATTGTATTTTAGTTATCTTTTTTTTTTATAAAAAATACGTTTTACTACTATTATTTTTTTTATAAAAAAATATCCATATAATATATCAACATGTTATCATTTCAGAGATAATATAAAAATTATATAATTTGATATTTAATCTTTAATTTATCAATAAATAAAATTTCGTTTCATTTATAGATTAACAATATTACATTGCATTAGATATTTTTAAATGAATATTAAATATTGATGGATTTAAAATATGAAAACGTAAATTAACTTAGATATTTAAATGGATTGATCCCGTATCTAACTCATGTAAATCAGACACTAACAATGGTTGTAAAGTAAATTTATAGGGCGGTTGGACATAATTACCCGAACTAAGAAGCTGACGTGGCGGTCCGTGACACTCAGACAACCGTTCCCCCTCCGTACCTGTTCCCGATGTACCAAAAAAAAAAACACAACGCAACGGTAATATTGCTATCTATTACCACTTCCTTTTTTTTTCCCTGACACATCCAAACGTGAGACCTGCGATTTGTTTATTCATTTCGTCTTCCTCCTCAAGCCACTTCCGCAAGAAGCAGGAGAAGATTCAGCTGTTGCTTCGCTTCCTTCTCAAGCCATTTTCTTCGTAACTTTTGTTCTTCCATCTTCCCTGACAATCTTTGTCTCCCTTTTTAATCGTTTTATGCTGATATTAAGGTTCCGCCATTAAAAGCCCTCACCGAAGCTCCCACGAGAATCCTCCATCTCCACACCTCTTTCTGACTTCCTCTCACGGGAAAGCAACATCCACTCATTTCTCCAGATACCCATTTTCTCACACTTTACAGCTTTCTCTGTTTTTTCCCCCTTGTCCCCGCGCGCGTGTGTGTATATATATATCGTCCCTTGTTTATGCACCTGAAGCTGTAATGGCGGAGTATAAGAGCAAGAAGATGAAGTTTGCGGGTGTTTTTGTTTTGTCGTTTCTGATTCCTTTCGGGTTTCTGGTGGAAGCGATTATTGATCCAGTTGATTTCTTGGCTCTGCAAGCGATTCGCAAGTCGCTTCATGACTTGCCTGGTTCCAACTTCTTCGACTCGTGGGACTTCACGTCGGAACCCTGCAACTTCGCCGGCGTTTACTGCGACGGCGACAAGGTGGTGGCTCTCAACCTCGGAGATCCCAGAGCCGGCTCGCCTGGTTTGTCTGGTCGGATCGACCCGGCCATCGGCAAACTCTCCTCCTTGGCCGAGCTCTCCGTCGTTCCCGGCCGGATCATCGGACCGTTACCGGACACCGTTTCTCAGCTCAAGGACCTCCGGTTTCTTGCTGTCAGCCGGAATTTCCTCTCCGGTGAGATTCCGGCGAGTCTCGGCGAGCTTCGCGGCCTCAGAACCCTCGATCTCAGCTATAACCAGCTAACGGGGATGATCCCTCCGTCAATCGGATCTTTGTCGGAGCTCTCGAACCTGATCCTCTGTCACAATCACTTGACCGGATCAGTTCCTCCGTTTCTCTCCCAATCCCTAACCCGAATCGACCTCAGACGCAACAACCTCACCGGCGCTCTCTCTCCGGCGACTCTCCCGCCGTCTCTACAGTACCTGTCCCTATCATGGAACATGCTCACCGGGCCCGTGGACCGAGTCCTGCTCAATCTCAACCAGCTCAACTACCTCGATCTCAGCCTGAATCGCTTCACCGGCACAATCCCGGGTCATATCTTCACCTTCCCTATGACGAACCTCCAATTACAGCGCAATTACTTCTACGGA